TTTAATATTTAAAAAAAGAATGATAAAATCATTCAAAATTTAATGGAATACCATTTTTAAATATTTAGATTCAATATTTGAATTATTATTTAATATTTTGCCCATATATACTGTAAAAAAAGCCAGATTGCTTGGCTGTGAAAATGCTCAACAAGAAAAATTCTGAAATGCAATAAATTACATTTAATTTACTATGTAAAATGTCAATAAACAAGGCTTATCCGAAGCTTAAAATTTGTCAAAAAATGCAAGTGTTAAACCGGCTCGATGCCGATGAGAAGAAGAAGAAGAAAAACATTTCGTTTAACATAAATTACATGAAACTGGAACTAAAAATAAATAAACCAAAAAAAAAAAAAAACAAAAAAAAAAAATTGAGTTCACGCAATGCAGCATGTTACGAAAATGTAAAACATGCAACGTGCAGCAGCCCAAATGATAAATGGCCATAATGAAAATATGCGCCATAATCATCAGCATAATTATACGATGCCAATGCACATATATATGAACATAAATGTGTATATGTGTATGCGTAGCTATGATTTATTTAGTTCAGCTGGTCAGAGGATTCATTTGGCAAAGCTCAAAGTTCGGTAAAAAGCCGTTATGGAAAGTGCACTCATGTTAACATTAATTGATCAGCTAGAGAGCGGGAGAGTGAGAGCGAGAGAGAGAGAGAGAGAGAGAGAGCGAGATAGAGAGGGGGCCTAGGCCATGCAACATTGGAAACGACCTTGCGCCGTTGCATTCCGCGCATTTTTCAGCGCTTTAAGTACCTCAGCTATGTTGTGGCTCTTCGCACTCTTGTAAATTAGGGATAGTGGGGAACTGGTTCGTCTATATGGGACGCGATGGCGACGTCGACAACCTGTGCGCCGGTTGCAATTCCCCGGCGTGCATTTTGTAGCATGCCACGCAATTGGCGTCAATGCCTGCATAACTTAACGAGTTCGAGTCACCTTTTTGGTGCGTAATTGTCGCTGGCTGGGCCGGGTCGCGGCGTCCAGCTGCTGCCGTTGAGTCGACGCAAATTATGAGGCTGTGGCCCACCGAAATGAGCAAGCGACCAACACAACAACAAAACCAACAGAAAACAAAACAAAAACAACAAAGACAACAAGTGGAAAAACTGTATAAGAAAACATCAACTGACTGAGACGATTTCAGTTTTAAGTGCGTGGCTGCTGCAACATAATTCACTTGCTGTGCTGATTTTAGCTTTCTGCTGCTACAGCTTGGGTTTTGCGTGCAACAAGCGGCAGCAGGCAACAAGAGCGTTGAGTACGCAACTGACCCGTTTTGTTGGCCATTGCATGTAAACAAATTATGCAATTGCAATGCCAGCAGCGCTCGGTCTGAATAAATCTGCCATCTCGCTCACACTATGCAGCTCTCCCTAAAACTCTGCCGCTCTCCTGCCCTCTCTTTCTCTGTCTATAGCTGTCTCTTTTGGGCCGTAATTTAACACATTTTTTTTTCGTTTTTTTTTGGCTTGAATGCATTTCATGCACATTGCTTGTAAGTTCAACTGCATTCCATTGCCTGATTGCCACTTGATGGCAGCAAGTTCGTTGCCTGAGTCTTTCGTTTCTGACATTGCCAGCGGCAGTGCAGCTTGTGGCAATGTCATTGCATATGCACTATGTAAATCACTGACATTTGCAATGTCTCTTAAGGGCGCATACATTTCGTTTCTCTCTCTCTCTATCTCTCTCTCTCTCTCTCTCTCTATAGACAGAGTGGAGTTGATGTTGGCCTGCACTGGAAGTGAAATCAGCTCGAATAGAATGACTAACTGTACTGTACTTTTTCTGTTCAATTTCTCATTTAACAATCTGTCAGCTGTCAGATGACAACTTCAGCAAGCCACTCCCAGCTCAACTCCCACGTCGCATTAGCACTCAACTAAGCGGATTCTATTGCATGTCGTGTCAAATCCGATTACAATCTCAGATTGCCAACTCGTACAATTCGTCAGAATTTGAGTAGTAGAAATTCAACAACAACAACAACAACAACCACAATAGACAACCAAATAGATCAAAAGTTGACTGCAATTTGCATCTACTTATAGATACAACAGCATCAGCATCAGCATCAGCTGCAGCAACAACAAAAGAATATTTTGCCTCAAAATGTTAACTAATTGTGTGCTAATAAGCTGCAACTGTTGCTGCTGTTGCTCTTGTTATTGCTGTTGTTGTTACAGTTGCATCGCTTGTGAAATGCCCTGCGATTGCCGCAGTTAGCTGAGGAACGCTTTGTTTTCGGGGCATCGCATCATTGGCACATCCAAATGCTGCCGATGCTGCCTTTTTGTTAGTTTTTTTAATGCTTTTTTTCGCCCTTTTTTGATACGCCCAGACAATTTTCCGCTGCTAATGATTACTTTTTTTTGGTTATCAYCTGTGTTTGTATTTGTGTGTGTGTGTGTATGTGTGTGCATTGCTCAAGTTGAGCCAATTAAACGTGTCTTTTGAAGGCCCTGACAAATAACGCATCAAACAGACAGACAGACAGACGAGCAAAAACACTTACCCGCTGCTCTTTGATATAGTTGGGGGCAACGATTTCGCCATTGCGGCAGTCTTGCGACTGTACACAGTCCTGGTCAGTGCGACAGGTGGCATACGGCACAGGTGTGGTTGTTCTCCTGGTCGTTGTCGTCGTGGTGGTGGTTACTGGTGGGCGATACGTGCAGCAGACGTTGGACTCTGGCAGACAGTTCTGTAAGGGAAGAGAAAATGTGGAGGTGAGAAAAGGATTGAAGAAAGTTTTATGATTGATGCTTAAAGTAGATAGTGGAAGCTTAGATATAAATGGGTTTGCCCGCTTCGTATTCCATTTCTTTTCAGCAATTTATCTTATTGCAATGAAAGACTTAGGAAACGAACTTGAACGAATTGCAACAAATTGAGACAAACCTCTGCCAATTTTTATATGCAAACTAAAGCCTAAAGCTCGCATCAAATGACTTGAGAAACAAGCACGTCATAAAGCTGGCAGTTAATTTGATAAATGGATATCCTTCGGTGCTTCATTTTTACTGGCCATAATAAACAAATGACTTAGGCAGCGAACGTGCATGGGAAATTAAAACCGTCCTTAGTGGCTGCGCTTTGATGGGTGGCCGTTAAACGTATGTCTGGGGCAATGCAAGAATGTGCGATCCTTTTGTTTGGCGGCAAACAGTTTATATTGGCCATTAAAAGACAAATGACTGCAGCAACGAACTTGGCAAATGACAGATACAAAGCTCACTGTCCGGCTTTGCCTTGTCGCACAATCAATCAATGTGTTTAGTAGCCGCGTACTTGACCAACACTGTTAGCCATAAAGTTGCCACTCGTTGGCATCGGCATTAATTAAGCGGCCTAAACGATCGTTGCTGCCTCTGCCACTGCCTCTGGCGCTGCCGCTGCAACGCCTCCGGCAAAAGGTCAGCAAAGCGGCCATTGCAGTTGCATAAATGATGTGTTAAAATAATGTCCAAACAGATAGTCGACTATGCTATGCCAAGCGATTCGCTGCGATGCCTTTTCTTGCAGCATCTTTGGCGACTTTTTTACTTTCGTTCGGCCACTTGGCTGGCTGGCTGGCTGGCTGGCTGGCATTGCAGCATTTGCATTGAACTTTGCCGCCTTCATTCAACGGTTTTATGAGATTCTAATGGAACCTTCGCACAACGCCCCAAACGCCTCAGCCCGCGGCGCTGGCTAATTTGTTTAAGCCAACAACGCTCAGCTGGCATTTGAACAATTGCAAATTAATAATAATAATCATGTTATCTCACTAGCTGTCCACCTGTCCGGCTGTCCGGCTGTCCGGCTGTCCATCTGTCCGGCTGGCTGCAGGCCAATAGTTCAAGAATTTCCAAGGTGTTTTAAGGCAGATGCTCAACGACGGTAGCCCAGAGGCGTCTATGCAAATCAATTAGATTGGCCATGCGATCGCTTAAGTGCAGCACCGCGGACTTGGAGATTAAGCCATTAATCTTAATTATGCAACTCATTCATTATTTGAACCTATTTCCTAGGCAAATGACAGAAACCAGTTCAACGCTATGGCCAGAGTTATCAGTCAGGCTTTCGGGCCAAATTGACGTTGCTGTTTAATTTATGTTCACATTTTACAGCCCGAGACAAAGGCGCTCTTTAGATGGATATATGGATATATAAAACGTATGCATAAATATATATATATATACATACATACATATATGTATGTAAGAAGCATCAATCTAATCGACCTTCAGCTGAACTAGAGAGGCTTAAATCGATATTCGAAAACGAGATTTTCTTGTCAAAGCTCATGTAGAACATGAGTTGCTCCAAGAATAGAAAAAGAGAATTCATAAATATGGTTATAGGGGCTGGTTCGGCTTAGTAGAAAACACTTAAATCGATTCGCATTTAAATCAAGCCTGACAAATTTACGAAACGCTTCGATTAGCACATAAAAACCAGAACAGCAACTGTGAATCTGTAAAGCACTTTAAGACTTTTATTCTTAAAGGCAGAACGCGCATATATTAAATAAACTAGTTTACACGATGAATGAGTGATGAGGCACGATAAGCTTCAAATATGATTGGCTCCAAGAACAATAAAACAATTGTCGCTGGTTAAGTTTAGTTTGGGCAATCAGCCTTTAAATATATATATATTAATATAAAGAAAAAGAACTATCTCAAACAACATTCAGTTTAAGTTTCAGCTTTAATTCGTATTAAAACAATGTTTTAATATTTCGCACTCAAACACGTTTCGCTATACATAAATTACTTCTATTGTTTCGTGTGTGAACGCTGACTAGAACACCTGATTGGGCTATGAACTATTCCCGTCAAACCGGATGAGTAAACGAAATTTGAAATTTGGTTTCCCTGACGCGCAGGTTGTTAAACCCTCCGAAAAACAAACGGAACGTGCAGAGACAAAACAGTAAATAATTATCATAATAAAGTGAATCTTACTTAGCAATAATAATAATAATAATATTACTAATAATAATGATATTAATCACATACACTAACGCTTGACATCATCGGGCTGAGAATTCATTTATTATATTTAACTTTAATTGGCTGTGTGCGCAATAATGTTTGCAAATTATATTCAAAAAAGCTCGCACAAATATTTGGCTTGTTTATTGACTCGAGATCTGTGCGCGCTAATGAAAGAGACAACACCACTCGCAACGCCAAGGAATCCGCGAAATATATACTAATCAGAGTCGTTGGCATTCCAAGTGAAATTCCCTTAAGCGCTAAGCTGCGAATTGTTCAGGAAGTGCAAACACTGCGCTCCCTCGACTCAGTCAAAGTCAAGTTTACACAAAAGCTGTTAGCTCTTCATTGGCCATTGGGCTGCCTTATTTGGACAAACAGACGCTCGACCATATTAACGGGTTGACTCAGCCAGACGCCCGCGCATCAAATATTTGTCTACTGATTTGGCGCTGTGTCTATTAAAGTCGGTCAACATTTGTGGCCAACAAATATTGGCTAGCAAAACAAAAAGCATAATAGAGATACAGATGCGAATTGAGTTGGAGATACAGATACATCTGCAGATGGTGCTCTAATTTGTGTTAGAGAAACGGAAGTAGATAAATAAATAGATTTAGCTGCAGATACAGAGACAGGTGTAACTAGAGAAATATCTTCAGATACAGAAATTAAACACAGATACTGTAGAAGTTGCTGATAAAGATACAGATATAGATACTAAAGATACAGATATAGATTATAAAAAAAAAGTATAGTTAGTGAAGCAGCTATAGATACAGATACGGATGCACATACAGAGCCATACTTATAGACTAAGATGCAGATACAAAATGAAGCAACTACAGCTACAATTACATACAGATACAGATATTTCAGCAAATGCAGATAAGTCCAAATAATTACAGAAACAGAAAAAGATACAAATACCTATACAGACTCATATCTAGTTACAGCTATAGCTCTAGCTCTAGCTCGATTTATTATTTTAGTTACTCTTTGCTACTATTGATTGATGATTAAATTGCAATTTGTTAATTAATTGAAAGCTTTAATGGACTCTATTAATTTAATCAATTCACACAGCGCTTAAGTACGCCTATTAAGAATCGCATGTTTTATAGACATTCTGTCAATGTTCAGGTTCAATGCTCTAACACCAAATTCCAGCAGCTAAGCCAAGCCAAGCCGAGCTGAGCTGAGCCGTGTTGAGCTGCCCATTTTGGCAGACAGACACTAAATGAAGTCTTATTAGCTACGGCAAATCAACTCCGCACACGCGCGCACTCGTCTCTTAAGCTGCCATCGATAATTTATTAGTTAGAACCAAAACGAATAGCTTTAAATGTTTATTACTTAAACGACATTGCTAATCGAATTTAGTCTAATGCTCGATACTTTAATATTATTAACCTATTTGGGCTATGAGCAACCAACATGAACTGATTTAAATTAAGTGAAGCAAGGCCGGACTAGATATTTATAAAGACGATTCTCAATGAGTGGAGGGAGAGTATAGAGAGAAGCTGCCTACTATTTGATGTGGTTTCATTCATCATATAATTGCCGTAAATATTTATTCAAAACCTATTGGAATGATATTTACATAATAGTCATGTGTGAGGCAATACCCGACTAGAAAATACTCTATTTAAATATATTATCAACATTTGATAGGCGGGGTAAGCAAAGAATTAGCTAGATTGTTAGCTAGGTAGGTGTAGGTACATATACAAAAGGCAAAGTGCTCGTTATCTAGAGATAGAGATAGAGTTAGAGATAGAGATAGAGATAGAGATAGAGATAGAGATAGAGATAGAGATAGATAGATAACAGAAATAGTACAGAGTATCTATCCTCTTTCCATTAACTTTATATAACTTATATAAAGAATAATATTGCTGGCCCATTTCCCTTGACTATTATTGCTCAAATTGTAATTACAGGGTATTTTCTAGTCTCAGAATTGCACACAAGTGCAGCCACATTCTTGTGCCTTCCTATTTGTATACGTAATTAAGTTTGTCATCAATAAAATTGCATTTGCTGCTGTTATTTGAGTTGCCAAACTTGTCGCCGCTGGTCAATGGGTCAAATCTGCACTTGAGGCGTCGCTGTCGCTGTCGCTGTCGCTGCCTCTGCTGCTGCTATTGGTGCTGCCGACACAGACATCGATCGTCTTCAATAATTTTTAATTAAAAAACATAATTCAGTTGCTTGGTTTTGCAATTTAGGCGCAAAATAAAATGCATTTTTTATATGCACACAGATAAAAGTCGATTGGCTGTTTAAATTGCAGCAGCAAGTTTGTTGCCTAAGTCTTTTGTTAGCTGCCGAAAATGAGTGAGAAAACACGAAGACGAACAAGAAGAAGCAGCAGTTGAGGAAGGTTGCAATTTGCATAGATGCTTTGAGGTCGCCCAAGGAGGCTGAGCAAACAAAAGCCAAAGCCTGAGACTGAGCAACTGCAACTGCAACTGCAACTGCTGCAGCAGTTTGGGGTCTGCTTTGTCATGCAGGTGCATCAATTGGGGTCTGTGATCTGTTTTCTTTGCAATGTTTACGTTATTTATGGGCCTGCGTATGCAAAACTCGAAACAACAACAACAACAGCAACAACAACAACAACAACAGCAACTGGCTTTTGCATTTACATAAATTTCTTTTTGGCAAGCGGCGAACTTGGCCAGCAGCAATTAAACATGAACTTCACTTTTTATTTCACTCTCCAGTTATTACGAAATGCCCAGTCGACGAAAGGTTGAATATGTTATTTATTTTTGTTTTTATTTATTTATTTTTTTTTTTTTTACATATTTTCTGGTGTAACAACAAACCGGAAAATAACGGTAACTGTGCCAACAATAATAAAAATGCAGATCAGATTGAGCTAATCAAGCGCATTGCCATATTTTCGTTTTTGTTTTTTCTGTTGACTCTGGTTGCCGTTGTTGTTGTTGTTGGACATTATCCCGAACGTAGACAGGCTTTTAATTTGGCTGCTGGCCTTTTGTCCGCTTGTCAAGCGCCGCCTGCCACATTTACTCGTATATTTCACGAATGTCGGGTTTATCCGCACACATTATGCAATTGCTAGCCGAGCAGGACTCTGCCTGCCCGACTTCCATTTCTACTAAGTATTGCTGCACTTGGGCTTACCTGTATCTTGGGCAGCTGCTGGCTGTAGTAGCCATTCTGGCACTGATCCTTGCGCACGCACTGCTGGCCATTGTAGCACTTGAGCAGCTCCGGCGGAGGCAGGTATGTGGGTGCCTGGAAGGGGGATGCTTGCCGGCTGATCACAGCATGATGCAGGAAGACATTCGTGGAGGGATTCACAGAGAAGTGCGTTTCGGGCTGCTGCTTGATCTGGTTCTGGTATTGGCCATTCAGGAACATGTTGCCCTGGTAGCTGGCATGGACGGCGCCTTGCATGGCCACCAGCAGCATTGGCAGGACCAAAGCGATTGTGCTTTGAAACCGGAACATTATGCTTTATTTTTTATATTCCAAGTGGATGCTGTAAGTGGAAGAGAGACAAGAGATGTTTTTCGTTACTAATCAGATTATACTTTTGTTCGATCATTTAATAAATAAATTTAATATTTAGTAAATAAATGTTAAAAAAGACTAAAAAAGCTACTATTAAATATTGTGCTATTTAATATAATTTTCTTATATAATTATTTTTGTAAATTTATCTTTATTTAAAGATTTCAAAATATTTATTCAAAAACTCATTTTTTTTACGAATTCATTTGAATTTTCAAATTAAATTTATATGAATAATAATTTTTGTATAATGCATATTTTTATATGTTATATTATATTCATTTAATTATTCATTCAAAAATATTTTAAAAATAATCGTAGCACGTGTTTCTTTTTTATTATTTTTATGTGAGTAAATTTGTGTTTACTTATGTGTATATTTTAAAACTTTGTATATGTATTTTTTAATTCCATTTGCAAACAAAAATGCTTAATATTTTAATATTTCTCACTCATATATATTTAACTATAATTCTTCATAAATATTAATATTAATGTCTTCTTTTTGTTAAGATTCACAAAAATCAACTGTTCCGAGTTTATAGTTCACTCAAAAATTTATTTTTTTTGTTAAGATGAAGTGAATGTTTTTTTTACTCTATAGTTTGAAATTAATAATAATAAAAAACGGGTAAAAAATAAAACAAATTTATATTCCATTATGTTAATATTAAAAACATGTAAAAAATCCATTTTATTATTAACATAATTTTGAATATCTAGTTTTAAAGCAATGATTTTTCGTCAGCTTTTGATATTTATGATATTTATGCAAATTATTTTTGTTTAAATCAATGTCTTATCGCAAAGTTGATCGATTTTGATTGAATACAACAACTTTTTGGCTGGAAATCTTCTGCTTAACGAGTCCCATAAAAGCTGCTGCTAAAAATAGTTTATAGTTTCTGCCCTTCGAAAGTTCTCATTAAACCTTTCAGATATTCACATTTGCAAAACTGGGCAAAACTAGTCAAAATCTGATTAGAATCCGACACATGTGTGGCTACTTGAGCTAAAGTCAAGTTATATCAGATAATCTGGCTCAATTTACACTTTTCGAGCGGTATCTAAAATTAGATAACTAAAGCAGTCGACGACTTTTAATAATTAGAAATCGCTGACTAAGCGCGTGTGGCCGGCCGGCTATAAAAAAAACTTTGTGTTGTTGTTGTTGTTGTTGCCGTTGTTGTCGTCATCAATGAAATGCAAAAAATATCGTGATGACATAATTTCGCAACAGGAACGTGCAAAATGCCATAAAAGTGCACGCGCCGTATGCCCCCAAAGATGATGCTGATGAGAGTAGGCCTTAAAAGCTGCAGCCAGCCAGTCAGCCAGTCAGCCAGCCTACACGCTGTGCCACGGATAGCCAGCTATGGATATTGCAATGAGCCGGCTCCATGACAACAGCAACAGCAACAGCAGCAACAGCAACAGCAGCAACTGCAACAACATGGTTAACACGGCAAATGGCACTTGCTGCTGACAGACGGACAGACGGACGAGCGGATAGTTGGACGGAGTGGATTCTACTTTGGTGCCCACTGTTAGCCTTTTGGGCAGCGAGTTGTCTACAAGTTGTTTGCGCGAAAGGAATTTCAGTGTCTAGCGCTTAACTTGTTTTGGCCGAAACAGACTTCCGAAAAGACTTGCAAAAGCTATGCCTAAATATATATATATAAATGAATATATGTATCTGTATATGTTTAATATATGTTTATCTGCAACATATTGTTGTTGGCCCCCCTGCGTGCGGCTGCTGTGCAATTTGTCAAAGATTCTAAGTCAGATAAATTACAAAAGCAGCGACTGGCGCTGCTGTGATGCTGATGTATCTGTTGGATGTGTCCATCCGCATCTGTCTGTCCACTGCGTCCGTCTGTCTGTCAATTCATTAAAGCGCTGCTAAGCCGTCTGACCGCTTGGATTACGCAAAGAGGCGTCGCTTGATTCTCTTCCCCCAATTGGCTACTGCCTCTGAGTGGCTCCGAGTGAGGCTTCGAGTGGCTTGGCTTGGCTTGGCTTGGCTTGGCGGCAATTTCATAATTGATGGCAGCTGACAAGTTAGTGTCTAAATTGACAAAGTTGAAGTTAATTTATTTGCATACGCTGCTACTGCGATGTTGTTTAGGAGCTTGTCAGGATGTCCCACAGAAGGCGGGACCAGTTTATACTATATACAAAAATCCTGATTTGTCTGACGCTGACTCAGTCCGCCAAATATTTCGTGGCCCATAAATCGCTGGCGACAATAGAAAATGAAAATGAAAAAACCAAAAAGCTGACAAGAAATTTGCATTCACTGAGATAAACAAAATAAAAAAAAAAAACAGATCCAACAAGTATTCCAAAGAGTTCTGTGTACGATCTAAGCCAAATGCGTGCCAAGCTGACTCAGTGCTATAAATAAACTCAATAGGACAGGCGTTTGACTATCGTCAAATTAAGCAGATGTATGAATATACATCGGGAAAAAATGGAGGGAAAAAACAAAAACAAAAACTAAATACAAATCAAAAATAAAAACAAAAATTGTTGGTTTTACCAGAAACGAATTTCGTTAGCTAATTTGCATAAAATATGTTATGCGTTTTTCGATTTGTTGGCAGCGCTCATTAAGGAATAGAAACACAAGTTTGTGTTTTGACGAGTTTCTAATACTTTCTCTAAGAATTAAGTTGGCAAAAAAAAAAAAAAAAAAAACTAAAAAAATAACCAAAAAAAAACTAAAAAATTTATATATATTTATATTTTGTTTACTCCTTCTCTGATGTCTCTGATTGATGCTTTAGCTTTAATTACTGGCTTAGTTCTGGGAATTTGACGGCCTCGAGGCCAGTTGACACACTTTTCGAACGGGAATTGATGGATGAACAAAAGACTCAGGCAACAAACGGCGCTCTAGCCGAAATAGAATAGAATAGCGCGCTAATGCTGATTAATTAAGATTTCGCATCAAATGCAGCCCATTAATTCACACTCGTTTGTTGTTCTAATGGTCAGTGGCTCGAATGACTTCAGCTGGACATATGCTAATTTGGCAAATGCTGCTGTAAAGCGAGGCTTCCGTTTGTTGAGCTCTTGAGCTAATGCTGCTGCCAGGCTGTGAGTGATTTTCACATAAATTAAAACTGCAAATGTTTGCCTTGTCTCGCTCGCTCTCCTCCTGTCTGTGCAATTTTGCAACAGCGGCGCAAAGTTCAGATCGCATCTCTGGCAAATAAATTTCCACTGAGTTAAACACAATGCACAGCCAAGGCGGACAGCCAGACAGCCAAAGACAGATCTGCAGCTAGGCTAGGGCTTGGGCACAGAGACTAGCAGCAGCGGCAGCAGCAGCGGCAGCATTTGAATCAATCAAACCATCCATCAATCAATCAACCGCAAATGAATTTAATTTTCAACCACAACAAAAATAACGTCACGGCACAATTTACAGTTAATTTGCGATCGCCTTATAAGCCACAATTCGAAGCATTAACAGTCGAAGCTCTGATCCTCAAATTCACAATTAATATCCTTGTTGCCTGGCACTTTATCACACTTGTTGCACACTGATTCGAACATAAAGTCTTTAGCTTAAAGTTCATTGTCTTTAGATTTATGAATAGCTGTTAAACTTTGTGTGTACATATATGTACATATAGATATGTATTTGTTGTCGTCTTACATTATTTGGATTTTAGTTATGTATAATTTGATATGGTTTACACTCGCACAGCTGAACGCACGAAACGTGCAACTTCAATACTTCAATATGATTGTGAATATTTTTTACCAAGTTCGTCGTTTTTATATGCGGCCCAGCAAACGTTTGCCCGCGTCGGCGTCGGCGTCGCTGCTTGCCGCGCAGCCTCACAGCTAGGCAGCACCTAAACAGCGCTCAGCAGAACAGCACACACAATAGCTGACGAAGACGAAGACGACGACGGAGACGTTGACGTCGACGCAGCTCCGAAGATGCGAACAAGTGGGTAAAAGCAGAAGACAACAGCAGCAGCAGCAGTAGCAGCCGCCGAGGCAGCTGCGTGGCAGCGCAGCTTTTGCTCACTTTCGTTGGCAGCAGCGCGAGAGAGCAGCAGTCAGACTGAGAGTGAGAGCGAGAGTGAGAGAGTGAGCCTGGCCTTTGCCCGTGTGTGCTTGGCTGCGTTGGCTTTCAGTGCGGGCGTGCATGCTCAGCAGAGCAGATCAGATCAGTTTGGAGCAGAGCAACAAAGCAGAGCAGAGTTGCTGCTTCTTCTGCTTCTTCTTCCTCTTCTTCCTCTACTTGAGCGTCTTAGGCTATAACGCGAGCGGAAAGTCTTTCTGACGTGTTAATTTAAATTCTAGTGCCTCTCTTGTTTTTCCAGTTTAGTTTTTAGCTTTAGTTTTAGTTTTAAATTTAACGTTCTCTGTGGGCGCAGCATTTATTGCTGTTAGCTTCGCTTCAAGTTTTTAAGACCGGCAGCTAATTGATTTTTGTGCTGATGCTATTTGGGCAGAATTAGGCAAATATTAAATTTCTAGAGTCGACAAAAATGTTTATGACACGCATTTTATATTATACGGTAATTCAATTTACTCAAACATATAATTTGTAAAAAAAAAAAATGATAAAACTAAATTTGATTTCCTTTTTTGTGGGGATTTTTTTATATTGTTTTTATTACTCTCTTTCCCTCTTTCCCTCTCTCTCTCTCTATCTCCTCCTCCTCCTTCACTTAGTTATTGCTGGGAAATAATTAAGTGCCAGCGTTTGTTTCAAAAGTCTGGCAATTAAAGCCGCGCAAACAAATCCGGGTTGATATATTCTAGACGCAACGTCACACCGTCATTCCGGCCCTGTCATAGCCAAAGCCGAGCTGCTGATTCACACAGCAGCAACAGCAGCAACAACAACAACGTAATACAGGCGACAACTACCAATACAAATGCAAATGATTTCAGTTGAAATATGCGAACACTGTAAACAGCATAAACAAAACAATTAATTAGCAAAATTATATATTGAGCATGCTGAAGCAAAAGCCGTAAAAGAAGTAGCCACATCCACTAACAATTGTCTCTGATCTCCAAATCGTGTTAAACATCACGCCGCCATGGGGAAATTCAAAATGCTCGCAATATCATCGCCTATACACTACATACACACATCGAATTTCAGTTTTTATGTTGCAATTGAATTCAGATTTGTGTCGACACTGCAAAGCCAAGTAAACAACGGACATATAGATGCAACATTTGAAGGTCGCACAAATTAACATGCAACACAATTTCGCATGTGCCAAAAAAAATGTAAACAAGTGATCTTGCTGTGGTTTTTGGAATGCCTATTGACATGTGCGATGCGATGGGAAAGACATGCAAATTTGAATATCTTTATAGTCTATGGATCTGTAAGAGGTATGAGAAGTGCCGTTCTCTGAGGCCTGCCTCTAGATTGAGGCTATATTATTCTAGGCTTTTGCTACGTTGAGTGGGAGTGGCCATATAATATAGATATTAAACAGCTGCCTTATACATACATCTGTATATCTTGGAAAGTGAACATAAACATTCTAAAATCCTTCCTTCCATAGATGCTGATGGCAGATGGACTGCTTCCTACATTAGCTATAAATGTAGAAATGGTCATATAGCTATATACAGTCATTATATTATATAACTGATAAAGAATAAAAGTTTGTGTTATTATTTATTAGGTATACTAAAAACTATGATAATGTATATGCTATGTATCAGATCCTTTTAGGTAGTCTTTAGGCTCTAGAGTGGAGCTTATGGTGCAATTGCTTCTATAGAAATACTAACCCATGCAATAGTTTCAGTACCCGAACTCCACTCAAACTGAGCTGTATTTCCACATAGAAATAAATCCATTACAAGGCGTTACATCTCACTTGCCCCATGTATAATACCCACTGTAAACAAACATAAATGTAATTTAACAGCTGTTGAATGCCTAATTAATTTATTAAGATCATTCTGCATGATTTTGAATTAAATGTGGGTCAAGGCAGCGTGCGAAATTATTTCACCATTTGATTATTTCTTGTTGTGCTTTCTGCAAATCATTTTGTTGACAAAACACACAAAACTCTGTGCGTCCCATAAAGGTGTTTGATAATGCAAAAGCAAAAGCAAGTCATAAAAATAAACTAATATAGCAAAGTCTGCAAGCCGAAGAGATTTTCTGCTCTGTTTTTGCTGTGTGAGTTTTGTTTTTATTGGAGCAGTTTGCATGATCAAAGCTCATATATATACATACACACATACATACATATATGTCGATGGGTATTATATATTGTGTAATTAGTGGTCGGGTCAATAGCTGTCTGATTCGCAAATCAAATGCACATTATAATTAAAGCATTTCGGTTGAGTTTCTGATTTCTTTTGTATCCCTGTCAGTGGCTCGAAACGCTTGATTATTAATTGAAGAAATGAACAATGCCCAGTGCATTGGACCTTTGTCGGGAGAAATTTCAAATGACTTCAAACACTCGAACAAAAATTGGCTTCAGTTCAATTGAGTTTCGGGCATTTCCTTTCACCATTAGGCTAATGCCCAATGCCCAATGCGTAATGCCTAATGCAACGCACCTCGACTCTTCCAACAAGTTGTTTGCGGTGCATAAATATTTATTAGATTATTCATAGCCAAAGACTTGTTTTATTTTGTAGCTTATTGGTTTTGGCAATTCAAGCTAGAAATTCCTGATATAAAATATATATTTTAATAATATATACGTCCGACTTGCTGAGAAAGTGATAATGACCATATATACTCGTGTATAATTTTGATTTTTTTTCTTTCAATTTAAGCACTCCAAAACGAGTTTGTTTATTGAAAATTCCCATTGAATTGTTGTGCAAATGGCACGCGAGTTCTGGAGGAATTTATGGCATTCTCAAACCCTTTAGCCAAATTCGAATAGAGTTTTTACAAACGACTTGAGTGTTAGAGCAGCTATATTTGGTACACGAGAATCAGAACTAGTTACTTTGCAGAGACCGGTTTTGGCATTTACTTAACTAAATTAATGCGAAAAATTCCTTAAATAATATTGAAATTAAAAAAAAACTAATTTTAAGTTTTTGTGTTTATATAGAACTTAAACGTGTTTTGCTCAAATTATGTAAATTAAACAAAAACTTATTTTTTTAGTATGTATAAATTTATAAAAATTAATTTCATATCAATAAGAAAAATACAAATTGAATTCTTTAATTGTGTTTTATTTTATGTTTATTTTGTTTTTTGTTTTTATTTTTTGTTTTTTGTTTTTTTTTTTTTTTTTTTTTTTTTTTTTTTTTTTTTTTTGTTTCTTGTGCTCGACCTTATTTGTGTCACGTCGTCCGCATATTTTTTTACAACGGCGCTAATATATTATGGAAGTGTTTACTGATGATCAATCAATAACGTATTTAGGCAGGTTTTTGAGAAAAATATATAAACAAGAAGTTTTGATATCTAATCCGTATTTATGTGGAAATATGTTGTTGTTTTTGTTAAGTATTTTGCCTTTCGAATTTTAGTAGAAGTTTAATTTAATTCTGGTTTGCTAGATATGCTGATGAAATGATAGTGAAGTTGGCTAAGTAGAGTTTTATCTTTGGATACTCGATCTATATCATAAATATCATATCATATATTCAAGGTAGTATATTCTATATATATGTTAAACACGCTCAAACAGAATGTCAGGGAACTTCGTCAAAGCTTTTAATTTTTTTACTAGCTGACGTATTTTCTTTGATTACTGCTTTAGTCTGTTTCTATATTTAATCTGAATTTTATTTATTTTTTTTTTTTTGGCAATTCTTCTTTAAAGCCTTAAAAGTCCATATAATTTCTAAAAATATCTCAGTTTTAAATAAAAACTTAGACATAATATCATACATAATTCAGGAACTCGAAGTCCGTAGGTAATAAACTCTCTTAATCACTATTGCAAAAATAATGCTCTGATATACATATTTAAATTATAGCTTTGACGCTAAACAGTATGAGTATTGCTAATGTACATATATTCTTTTTTAAGTTAATCGTGAAATCAATCTAAACTCGTTCTTCAATAGTTTTGCTGATTAATAAACTTTATAGGCGCAGCTCAGGAAATTATGCACAATAAAAATTTGATAAAAAAAAAAAACTATCAAATAATTTTCTAGAAAAGATTTCACAATAAAATCATGAATCAGTTTCATTTATAAACCAGCTAAGACGACCACAAGCATACCAATGTTAATAGGTTATTGAACTATGCGACAAAGTCATTGGGGCTTTTCAAATGAACTAAAACTATGGTTTGGTCAAGAATGCATGAGTCAAATGGTGCAAATCGAAGGCCCAGGCTAACTCATTCGTGTGTCTTTCCCATGGCTGCAGCAATTAGGCATTGAAGCATTCAAATGAATCAGCATATATATATATATATATAGAATATACTAGAATTGACGTCAGTCTTTGCAAAATCCTTTCACTCGATGAAGGCATCAAGCATTGAAGATTGATTAACATATATGTATATATATATATATGTAGTATATAGACTGCCATGCCACATCCTATTCCAAACCAATAATAACAACTTCTAGCAATCATAATTAATAAAACTTAAGTCAGGAGCTGCTGGATAATATTGACAGCCAAGCTTAAAAATTAGTTAATTGAAATATTTCCAAAAAAACAACGTGGGTGAGAGAACAACAAATAAATGAAACCACCAAACTAAATGGCCAAGAATATAGTATACCAATATAATCTT